TTTAATAACAAATGTACTGGAACATTTACTAGTTAAAAACAATATTTAGAAAACAGCCCTAAGAAAATATGCACACTGACTGGTTAAAAATTGTCTTTCTATAACTTGATAGAAACACAGAACTAGCACGAGCTGTTGACGCAACAATGGCGTGAGCAAAGAGAATTTACAATTTGATGATTAAAGTAAACAAGTTGTTTCCCTTTTTTTTTGTTGCAGTGTTTTCTCAAATAAATAGAAACATGTTCTCCTTGTTTCTATCGAGCTATAGAAACATTCATGAAAGTTTGGGAGAACTCGAAAAAGCTTTGAAAACACTCGCCTACAGCTTGTGTTCCCAAAGCAGTTCTTGTTCTCCCAAACTTCCACTCGTGTTTCTATAACTCAATAGAAACATGGTACATGTTTTCTATGTCTTAAATAATTATATTTTTTTTAAAAGGGTTTCTCTGCCCTAGAGCTTGCACAATTGAGATTAAATTCCTAAATTACCCTGTATATATATGTAAATGTTTTTTTTTTTTAACCACAACAATTTTTCTTGATAACTCTGTTCTTATGAATGATAAAAGAACTACATTGTGTGTAAATGAAAACACAGGAAAAGCATCCATTACACTTCAATAAATGAGTTGTAATAGACGCTTTTGATGATCAACAGCCTGGTCAACAAATAATGCTTTCCTTATGAAAGGCGAGTAATGCTTTCTAATTTTCTTTCTTTGGTGCTTTGATGGAGTTGACCCGGTTGGGAGATAATGAAAGTGTAACTGGCCTGGTTAGCACTCAAATTGGTGGAATAATCCACGTCGGCTGTTACTCCTAGGAAAATAAACAGGTACTCATTTTGAGTTCCATACAGCATGCGAAAGTGTTAATTGCACTCCTATTCTGCTTACAAATTTATGNTGGAATAATCCACGTCGGCTGTTACTCCTAGGAAAATAAACAGGTACTCATTTTGAGTTCCATACAGCATGCGAAAGTGTTAATTGCACTCCTATTCTGCTTACAAATTTATGAAAAGCACTACAAACAACATTTCCTTCCTTTTCATGTCTCACACAATAGCATCTTGCAAGCATATGACATGTGAAATCTGTGCAATTCCCAATTTGTCTCATTTTCGAATCCTCCAAAAAGTTAAAATTCATTGGTCACTAAGGGTCACTTTGGTATGAATTTGTGCATGGATGTTTCTAGAACAAAAAATGTTTATCATAGATTGGAATAGACCATTTTACAGTTGTCTGCTCAGTGACCTGGCCTTTGGATGGCAGCGAGGCTGGAGTTGAGCTTGTTTTGATACAGACCTCACTGCTACTGTCATGTAAATGCACCTAGTTAGCATCAGAACAACTTGTTTTACTCGACAAAAGCAGTATGGTCTGTATCAAAACGAGGTCAACTCCAGCCTCACTGCCATCCAAAGGCCAGGTCACTGAGCAGACAACTGTAAAATGGTCTATTATTATCACTTTGTCGGGCATTGTGGCGCATTTTGTGGGCTAAAATGTATTT